TGCTATGACATACACTGACCACCAGGGGGCAGATGCCCAACGCAGGAGCTGTCCCCAGCCCACAGGCCCTGATCGCCTGATCAGGGCCTGCCAACCAACCTCTCAGTCCCCCCCCCCCCCCTTCCAACAGTCTCCGATTGCCATATAGGGAACAGGGAACTGGGGGGTGGTGGGGGAGTGGCGGCGGATGTGGGTGGTGCCAGACCAAGGTGGGTGTGAGCAAGTGGGACCCTGATCACCCTGCCAGTCGCCCCACACACAGAGGGCAACCTGCAATAGTGGCAGGGGGCGGGGCCGGCGGCCGGCAGCTGGGGAAGATGGGCCCTGATCGCAGGCCAAGCCTAGGGACCCTACCCGTGCACAAATTTCGTGCACCGGGCCTCTAGTATACCATAATTATTTTCAAAGTAAAAACATATATTACTCTACAGATGATGTTCACTATAGAACATCCACTCAAAATAAATTTAAAATTATTAAATTAAAATAATAGAGTCTCATTTTGTATTCCCACACCCCAACTGATACTACATAGCCTACTTTTTGAAACCACAGCTATAGATATGGACAAATCAGCATAAAGAACAGTACAACTATATACAATCTCCATTGATCCAAAGGCTTCAATTCTCTTAATGTAGGAAACTATATTATATTTGCTTTTTTCCTTTCTCCCCCCACCCCTTTTTTTTTTGAGCTGTTCTTTTAGATTGGTTCAGGTACTTTTTCCATATGAAACAAAATCACAAACCTGACTTCCCACTATGTTGTACTGGTGTAATTGATTTTTTTAAAACACGTCAAGCAGGTTTAACCTATAACTCTAATTTTAATATTTTTAAGGTTTGCCTCTATATCTAGAGTATGTTTGGTCTACTACATTTTTGAATCCTGATTTTGTCACATATTAGCTATACTTCCACTTTAGAATATCTAAAAATTTGGTTTTCGAATCTTTTAAAAAATTCTGAATGGGCTAGTCAACATTTACTAAGTCATGTTACTAAAAAATCTTCCTCCCCTTTAAAGTGATCCACTTATCAACATATATTTTAATTTACTATAGATGAAGATTTTAACTATTAATACTTATAATGATTAAAAATAGTGAATAGAAATTGTGGGGTATTTTATCATGTTAAAATACATATAGCTTAGTCCTAAAACCATTCTCCTAATAGGGAAACACCAGGACATTTCCATTAAGATCAGAAACAAGGCAAAAACACCTATCTCTGTTTCTATTCACAATGTATTAGATTATTAACCAATACAATTAGAAAAGAAAAACCATTAGAAGCACAAAAATATGTGAAAAAACAGGCAAAAGTTGAATAGGGCCTACAGATTAGTGAACAGTTTTGTACTGATGTTCATTTCCTGGTTCCAATCACTGCCCTGTGATGGTTTAAGATGTCAACATTACGGGATTTGGGTGATAAGCACACAGCAGGTCTTCTCTGCCTCAGCACCCCTGGCTTTTGGGGCCAGATAATCTGTGTTGTGGGAGACGTTCCTGTGCATTTACAGGATCTTTAGCAGCATCGTTGGCCTCTCCCAACAAGATGCCAGCAGCAACTCCCCCAACCTCCCTGCCCCCAACCCAAGTTGTGACAACCAACTGTGCTGACCTACCTCTTTGTGTTCATTGATGCCTTCATCATCCATTTATTATTGAGAGGGTCAAACATCTCCATGCTACCTAAATGCTCATTTCCATCATGTCCACCCACAGCATACACTTTACCTGCCAGACAGAGAAGTATTTTCATTTGATTCCAAATAAACTGACAGTTATTTACATGTATAATCAACATATAATAGAAGAGAATAATAATTTTCCACAAGTATTCTTCTGTTCAACATTATGGTCAATGTCACTTTTGTAGTTAAATGGAAATAAATGTGAGCTTCTACTTAATAAAATGCCTGGAATGTGCTGTTCCACATGAAGTTATTTAAATGCTCAAACACTATCCCTCAGGTTTCCCAACTTTTTATTATTTAGTAGATGAAATCATGCTTTTAAAGAATGTTTTATAAAATGAAAAAATGCTTTTATGTTACATAAAGAAAATATAAAACAATACAATATGATCAAACTTTTTCTAAATGAAATAAAAGTACACAAAAAATTGGAAAGATTATATATCAAAATGTTAACTGTGATAGTTTTGGGGTGTTTGAGTTACAGATGATTCTTATTAAAATGTTTTCATATTTTCTAAAAAAATTTACATGCTTATAATCAGAATAAAAGTGATTTTTTAAAAATCTAACAATTTATCCATGGTTTTCTACAATTAATCATTTTCAGTAACCAGTAAAAAAAAAATCTAATTTCAATAATAATTAGATGGGTATAGAAAAAAGCTGGTATGTGTTTATTATTTGGGTTCAAGAAACATTTTTCTTTAGTTTGATTCTCTTGCAAATATAATTCACAACAGTTTATTTTAACCCCCTTTCTCCTGGATACTCATCTCCTGTAAAGCAATTATATGCAAGAGATTGTACACTGAGCATCAATGGGCATAAAGCAAGTAAATACCACCAAAATATATTAAAACATATTTTATCATTTAGAAATTTTCTTATAGAATGATCAAAGTTCAAATAGTTTAAAAGAGCATTTATGATCATGTGATGTGACTTAAGACAAGAATGAACCCACCTTCCACCGAGATTACACCCACGTGTCGCCTTCGACTATTCATTTCTGGTCCAAAGAACCAACTGTTTTTGTTGATAGAATAGCATTCAATACTGCGAAAAGGGTCACCAGATCCACCTCGACCACCCACACAAAACAGCACACCTAAAGGTAAAGCCACAAAATAGAAGTCAAAATCACAGTTCCCTAATTTTTAAAAAATTAGTATGGAAAAAAATAATTAGGAAGTCAAAATTTTGATTACTGGCAAAGAAAGTGGGTAGCATTCAATGTTACTACGTTACTAGAAATCTAATTTTCTTTTTTGTTTTTCCTCATTTGAATTTCTCAAAGAATAAGATACATTAGCCACCCCCACTTCCCAACATCCCATTACAATATGGTTTAGATCAGTGATGGCGAACCTTTTGAGCTCGGCGTGTCAGCATTTTGAAAAACCCTAACTTAACTCTGGTGCCGTGTCACATATAGAAATTTTTTGATATTTGCAACCATAGTAAAACAAAGATTTATATTTTTTATATTTATTTTATATATTTAAATGCCATTTAACAAAGAAAAATCAACCAAAAAAATGAGTTCGAGTGTCACCTCTGACACGCATGTCATAGGTTCACCATCACTGGTTTAGATCCTCACCCACTAAGTAAAATTGCTCTTGCTAAGGTCCTAACAAGATCCAGTGAACTCTTGTTAATTTCTTACTGAGCACAACTGCAACACCGATCACTCTGTTTTTGAGAAACTCCTTAACTCTCTTAGTTTCCCTAATATCAAAGTCTCCTTTGTGTCTAATCATTTCTTTCCTATGTTTTCCATGTTTTATCCTTAGCCTACTTCTCACATATGTCATGCTCACGCATAAAGTGTATTTCTCTATTTTAAATTCCATCTGTATGATAATGCTTTCCAATTTATATTTCTAAGCCATATTTCCACTTGATGTCCTATGGGCACCCAAACCCAACATGCTCAAAAGGATCTGGCTTCCTCTCTTACCTACCCCTCTTCCTTCCCTGAGATGTCCTTCCTCTTCCTCTATATTTCCACTGTCATTGCCTGAGTGCAGGTCAGCTATGATGACCCCCCACTACTGCAAGATCCTGTCCTCTCTTATCACTTAGAAGTCTTTTTGCTTTCGGACTGTAACAGAGCAATCTAATTAAAAGTTCTTTCAACAGCTCTTCATTACCTACATTAGTAGTTTCTTTCAAATGTTAGCAATGCCACTAAACTGTACATTTAAAAATAGCAATTTTAATGTTATGCAGGCATACCTGCGAGATACTGCATGTCTAGTTCTGCAATAAAGCCAGCATCACAATAAAGCCAGTCACACAAATTTTGTTGGTTTCCCAGTACATTTAAATGTTGTTTACACTATACTATATAGTCTATTAAGTATGCAATAGCATTATGTCTAAAAACTGTACACAACTAAATTTAAAAATACTTTATTGCTAAAAAATGCTAACCATCATCTGAGCCTTCAGCAAGTCATAATCTTTTTTTCCGGCAGCGGGTCTCACCTTTACTTTGCCAAAAAGAAAAAAAAAAAGTGCAATGTCAGCGAAGTGCAATAAAATGTGGTATCCTTACATATTTACCACAATTAACAAGAAACTGAAATTTCAGTGTGGTCCAGAATCACCCCAAAGGCATAGAACACTGACTGTGGGGCCCTGAGTTTCTGATTCAGTAGGTTTGTGGTAGGTCCAAGATTGTATTTCAAACAAGTTGCCAAGTGAATGCTGACGCTATTGGTCCAAGGGCCACCACTTCCTTCACACACTGAGAAACTTCCCTACAAGATCAAGCCTTAGCACAGCATAACAGCATGCAGTGCCTAGCCCGATCTTCTCCCTCTCTTTCTCTTAAAACTTCAAGCTCCTGCAACAGGCATGTAGTTGTGCTCATCCTCGAAGTGATCTATTAAACCGACATTTGTCACCAGAAGCGAAGCCAGGTTAAGACTGTGTGCTAAGTACTTATGCACTAAGAAGGACTAGCACTGTGCCTGGCATATAGTAGGCATTCAGTACATGTAAAATGAACAGAATATCCCTTTCCCTAACGCACCCAGGAAAACATCTGTGTATTATTAAAAACTAAGCCTGAGGTTTACTTTTTTATAAAACCTTTTCTGATCCTCGAAAGGTAAAAATAACCACTCTTTTCTTTGTGCTTCCCACTACGCCTTATGATTGTATCAAAGTGTTTGTAATACTTTACATTTATTTATTTACATGTCTATTTCCCTAGATCAGACTGCAAGTACTCTCAGCATTTCTAATGCTCAACCTAGAATCCAGCACATGGTAGGCACTGAATAAATGTTTGCTGAATGATTATGTAAATGCATGATCAGAACTGTGTGCACTCTTTTCCAACTAATTCAATATTTGAAGTCGTAGAAATTTAAAGTTGGAAGTGACTTTAAAAATCATACAGTCAAAATTGTTTATAAATAAATCAAGGCCTTCAGAGATTAAGAAATCTGCCCAGCCCTGGCTGGTGTGCTCAGTGGTTAGTGTTGGCCCAGGCACTCAAGGGTTGAGGGTTTGATTCCCAGTGAAGGGCACATATGTGGGTTGCAGGTTCGACCTCGGTCCTGGTAAGGGTGCGGCAGGAGGCAACCAATTGATGTATTTCTCTCACATCAATGTTTCTCTTTCTCTCTCTCTCCCTCTCCACCCTTCCTCTCTCCCTCTCGCTTTCCCCCTTCACTCTCTCTAAGAATCAATGGAAAAATATCCTCAGGTGAGGATTAACCAAAAAAAGAAATCTGTCCAAAATATAGATATTTAATGGCAATGATGGAATTATAATGCCAGAATGTAATCCCAATCATTGATAAGATTTTCTTTAAATGGAAATCAGTATTTCAGCTTCACAGTTAATGATGTGGAAGAAAACGAAGAATGAAGCAAAAAGATCAGGATGCAAATCCTTTCTCTGCTATTTCTCTATGTGGCCTTGAGCATACTTTTAGCCTCTCTGATTCTTAGTTTCCTCATCCATAAAATGGAATAACACTAGCTATCTCCTAATGAGGACTGAATCATTTACTAAAACCTGCTTCATTAAGTTCTTGCAATCATGTAAGGGATCGTGTATATGAGGACTCAGCATATGTTGGGCATATAACACAGTGGTCGGCAAACTGTGGCTCGCAAGCCACATGCGGCTCTTTGGTCCCTTGAGTGTGGCTCTTCCTAAGCCTTAGGAGTACCCTAATTAAGTTAATAACAATGTACCTACCTATATAGTTTAAGTTTAAAAAATTTGGCTCTCAAAAGAAATTTCAATCGTTGTACTGTTGATATTTGGCTCTGTTGACTAATGAGTTTGCTGACCACTGCTCTAAGACAATCAGATACTAATCATCTTACAATCAAGTCTGGGCATACATACCCAACCCTCAAATACAAAAAAGATCCTTCCAGCAGAGTTGATAAACGAGCAATTTAATTACCAGCAGTATGCTTCCTTGGTGTAGTCCGAACAGAGTATTCAAAGTCAGGTACTGCTCTGCTACTCAAGTGAAGGTGGTAATTTCTTGCTTCATCCAATAAATCTCTACATTTTAGATTTTGCTTGACAATCTGTTCTTTTGCCACAACACCCATAAGGAAATCCACCGGCAACAGCGGCAAACGAACCTAAGATCATGAACAGTTATGGATATAAAATTTAAGTTGTAACTGGATAGCTCATCCTCCACTTTCACTGCAGCATATTACCCTTTTAAAACTCATTTACTATGTCATAAAGACTTAAAGTACAATGTGCCTAGTTCTAAAGCAATTTCCAGTACCGGTCTGCACTAATGAAAGCAGATTATATGCTAAATGTATTATCCCCTTTTAAGCACAGCTTTAAGTAGACTAAATAAATAACATTCATTCAATAATATTCATTCAAATTTCTTCCAAAATGGTACTGTCATGATTAGAAGGCCCCTTGCTGCTAAAGAAAAGGCACAATCAAAACAAAACTCTGTGCTTTGCTGTTTTGCCCCTTAAAGCTAAGACTGAACACATGAAAATGTGATCTATTTCTGAAACGCACAAACATTCAGATCTGAAAATTGATTTGTTTTCTTCAAATCAATTACCTTAGAAGATTATATACTAACTCAAGAATGCATACCCTCTTTATGGAGAGGCACTCACTTTTCCTCTCTTAAAAGAAGCATTGATTTTCCAGTGGAGTAAAGGCATTATCAAACCAGGCAATACAATTTTGAGTTAAAAGCATGCACACGCACACAAAAATAAGATACAGCTGCAAGATAATGAAACTTTTTGTTTGTTTTTGTTGACAAACTTATTTTCAAAGTAATTCTAATGCCTATTTATTTATCTTCCTAAGTAACCCCTGTTGACAGTAAAAATAAATGACTAAAATAGAGATACATTTCTGAGATTTAAAAAGTAAAACTGTGGTGAGGGAAGAAAATGGAAAGTTATATCTTGTAGTTCTTTCCAGAACAAATCTATATGCAGAGAATAATATTTCTAAATCAAATGTAACAAATTCAGATCCCCAGTAGGGGGTGTGCAGGAGGCAGCTGATCAATGTTTCTCATTGATGTTTCCGGTTGGTTTGGCTCAGTGCCTCTCCCTTCCTCTCTGTAAAAAATCAATAAAATATATTTTAAAAAAAAAAGTAAAACTGTGGTGAGGGAAGAAAATGGAAAAGTTATATCTTGTAGTTCTTTCCAGAACAAATCTATATGCAGAGAATGATATTTCTAAATCAAATGTAACAAATTCAGATTTACTGTTAAACAGTGTAATAAATAGGAAAGTTAAGAGTCAAAGCCATTTTCACATTGTTTTACATCAAGTGATAATTTACACCTGTCATGACAAATGAAACATGCTGATTTGCTTCCAAATCGTTCATTTCTATACACAATCTTATTTCAGTCCCTACCTGTGCAAGCGTTTCATCCAACCATTTGGAATGATGCTGAGGATTGGCAAGAAGCCACTTGATGGCTGCATTATAGACCTGTTTTTCATTCTCAATATTTAGATCACTGGAGGACAAAAGCTTATGGAGATGCTGGGGTGACACACTTACAAAGTCTTCACACTCCACTACTTCAGTAAAGTGCTCACAGGCATACTGATCCGCCATGTCCATCAAGTCTATTCGATTGTGACTTTCCGCAAAGGCTCTTACCGCCAAGCAATTGGAGGGATGAAAATGTAACTTCATGTATTCACAGCAAGCTCTAGCCACCAGTTCCACCTGCAGAATGCAGGCTGCATATAAGAGAGGCTGGACGTTGTCAACAGTCAGAGTGAGCCGTGAAGAATAGACAAACTTTACCAGGTCTTCTATTGCATCGCCATCAAAATCTCTAATCTCAATCACTGTCTGCTTGGCTTCAGCCATTTCAGAGAGAAACATGGCTCTGAAGTAGGGAATAACGCAAGCCAATACCAGTTTGTGACAAGAGATTAACTTTGAGCCAACCTGTTCCAAACAAACAAAACGGGACTCAGTTTAATAACTCAGTTTAGTTTTAGATCAGCATCAACCATATGCTGTAGTGGGGACAATAACTCGAGACAAATTTAGTGCATTTGTTTTAACAATGTAATGCTTTGGTCACTTACTTTTATTTTTTTTTTGAATTTGCATTTTATTTATTTTTTTATTTAACTAGTGACCAGGTGCACAGATTCGTGCACACTGAAAGGAAATTATTATTAGAAGGTGGCTGGTGGGGCAGGACTGGGCGAGAAGGGCTAGACACACCCCGGAACAAGCATCCTGCAGTCCCTCCCCTCTGGGATGGCGCCGTGATTCAAAGGGCATCTGCGGAGTGAGCAGGGTCCCTCCGGCAGGTGGGGTCCCTTGGCCTGGCCTGTAGGGATCAGGCTGAAACTGGCTCTCCAACATCCCCTGAGGGGTCCCGGAGTGCGAGAGGGCACTCTGCAAAGCTGCTGTCCTACGGGGTGTACAACGCAAAAGCAATTGTGCAGTAAACCAGATTCGGGGCCCACAGTGCCCCAGCAACAACATAACCCACGGCCGAAGGTGGAATCACCCAGCAACAACATAACCCACTGCCGAAGGTGGAATCACACAGCCCCGCGAGGAATTGGGCTCCCTCCTCTCTGGTTTTGGGCTCCTGTGTTGAGTGTCCGCCCCCTGGTTGTCAGTGCATGTCATAGTGACCAGTTGGACAGGCAGAGGGACACTTAGCATATGTCATAGTGACCAGTTGGACAGGCAGAGGGACACTTAGCATATTAGCCTTTTACATATATATATATTGTTGAAAGTTTTACATATCTCTCCTTTTTCCCCCATTGACCTTTCCCTTTCCCCATGGTCATTTACTTTTAATCTAGGCCAATTTCTTAAAATCAGGTAATATTCTTCTTCCAAATTAGCCACTTATTTTTTATACATGTATCTATGTATATATAATGCATATAGAGTAAAGAATGCTATATAACACTGTATAAGTTTAAGATATGCAATATAATGATTTGATATATGTATTATGAAATGATTGTCACATAATTACATTCTTTCTTCCCTTATGATGAGAAGTTTGAAGACCTTAGCAACTTTCAAATACATATATCTAATATTATTAACTATAGTCATCTAGCCAGGCACTATTTAAGTACTTTTCATATATTAACTCACTTAGTTGTCCCAATGCCCTATGATTATATACTATTACTACCCATGATTTATCAGTGAGAAATTGAAGCACAGAGTAAATACATCAATATTTAGTAGTATTTACTATGACTTAACTGAGGTTTTTTTACTTCCTGCTTAAATTATTCTGAAATAATGAAAAAATGTAATTAATAAATTAATTTTATATAAAAGTAATAAAAACTCAAATCTCACCACGTTAATTATTTAAAGATTAGATTGCTTGCAATAATTTGTCATTACAAATGACATAGTAATGAACTTTGTTGTAATTGAATCTTTGTCCATCTTCCCTATTATTTCCTACAGATAAATTCTAGAAATGCTGCTTCAAAGAATAGGTACAAAATTTGGATACATTTTGCTAAATTGTCCATTTTTTTTATCTACCTACAATAATTGTATTTCTTCTACAAACTTTTTTCTATGATGTTTTTCTTATTCATTTGTGAGAACTCATACATTTAGAGGATTAGTCATTTGTTTTATATAAAATTAAACTTTCATCTTTTACAGTGTGCTTGTAAATTTTATTCCCCCCATATATTTTTTATATGATTAAATCAATCTTTTCTTTATAATTTCTGCCTTTGGTACTATGCTTGAAATGGGAATCATTCTAATATTCCATAAACATTTACTTCAAGTCATTTTTTTCTAGTACCTTTTTTGTTTTACACTACAACTTTTATTTCCATTTGGAAATTTTGGGTACTGAGTAGACAGATATCTTCTTTTTAACCTAGTAGTTATCCAAATTTCCCAGCACTTTATATTGAATAATCAATGAGTACAAGTAATAGAATAGTAGTGTTTAAGCAATTTTTCCATTTTCATGTAGCAGCTGATTATATAATATACTTATAGTTGTGTCTCATTTGGGAACTAATTTTTTAAGTAAGATATTCTAAAGAAAAAGGTCTGAGGAGTTTTGCTTATAAATGCTCCTCACCCAACTTTTTTCACTGATTTAGAGGAAAAATGAATAACACATATTTCAACGAACAGATGATCATTTCTGGCACATATGCTATATTTAATTTTTTAAAAGAATTCATTAAAGTAGGATTTAGATTCTATTGAAACTCAAGTTGAATCCTACACTAAAGCAGACAGCTTGGCATGTTTTCAAATTCACTTCAACCCTAAAATGAGATCTAAAATCTGATGTCAAACATTTTCAGAATAGCCTTAAAATATCCCCTTTTTAAAAATTATCTGTACATGTCACCACTGATATTTGGTTTTTAGGAAAATATCTGTAAATCTCACATGACCTCTGCTCAATTAACCTGCCAACATTCTCTTACATAATAGTACTATACTATAAAATAGAGTTCTGTGATTTCCAGATAAAGTGTTTTAACACTGCTTTCTCACCCAAGCTGTTTAAATCAATGGCCCATAAGTTATTTTCATGTTTTTATAATAAGGTTCTGTCGCTCTGTTTTAATTTTAACTTCTTGATTCAAGTAGACAAAAACATGGATGCTTAATGCACACGCATACAAAATCACACCCTTATGTACCCCTTAGAACAAATACCCATCTTATCTTTAAAAAGAACTTTGAGTAATATGTATGAAATAGGAACATAAAAAATTTTATCTTTTTATTCATTAATTCTCCTTTGACACTATATACTTTCATTATATTCTTTTTTTTTTTCCAGTTGATCAGCATAGCGAGGTTCTCTCGCCAGGTTCTGTGTTTATTGTCTTGTTACATCTGTATTTATACCAGTTGATTTTAATCCTATCAATTCTATTCCAAAGGTTAGGGCGTTTCTTATATTCTTGAAAGTTTATTTCTATATTTTTCTTCTCTGGTACATAAAAAAACATTTAATCACAAATTTAGAACTAAAAGAAATCAAAGCCTATACACTACATAAAGTAGTGTATAGGTGAAAAATACATAATCTAAAAAATATAGACAGTACTATACAATTTTAAATTATATAAGTAAATACTACATTATGTGTCTTTGATACTAGCGAAATTTCTAATTTATATTTGTTTTTATTAGATCAGTGAACATATAAATAATTCAAGATGCTCAGGGGAAAAAACATGCTAAGCTTATAGTTTAGTGAAATATGTAAAATATCAACATTAAAAAAATGTTCCCTGCACTGGCTGGTCACTCAGTGGTTAGAGCGTTGGCCCTCAGACCAAAGGGTGGAGGGTTCAATTACCGGTCAAGAGCACATTCCTTGGTTGTGGGTTGTATCCCAGACCTAGTCAAGGGCATGTAGGAGGCTTCCTCCCTCCCTTCTACTCTGTCTGAAAATCAATAGGAAAAAAAATCGTGCGAGGATTAAAAAAAAAAAAAAAGTAAGCAGAGTTAGGGGTCAGCAACTATTTCACAAAGGAAATTGTTGGGAAAAAATAATAAAATAAAATGTTCCCTTATTTAAAAAAAAAAAATCAAAACTAAGTAATTTTCCATAGATTAGCCAATAGGGATAAGAAAACAATGAAACAAAGGCTTTTAGATTGATAAAGCACTTCACTTTTTTAAAAATGTTTTTTATTGATTTTTTTTAGAGAAGAAGGGAGAGGGATAGAGAGAGAGAAACGTCAATCAGCTGCCTCCTGCACACCCCCCACTGGGAAACGAGCCTGGAAACTAGACATATGCCCTGACTGGGAATCAAACCTGTGACCTCTCGGTTCACGGGTCGATGCTCAACCACTGATGCACACCGGCTGGGCAAGCACTTCACTTACAACACAGGGAAAAACAGGGGGAGTCAAGCATCCTTAATTTTAATTTTTGATTCAACATGCAAGTCCAACCAGAAAAACTAAGTAGAACTCTGAAAACATAAATGATCTTTTGCTGAATTATGAGGTAAAATCAACAAAAAATTATATAAAAACAACATTAACAAAGATCATCAAAAATTCCAGTACTATCAAATCTGACTTGTAAAATGAACCTATTTTACATAAGGAAGTCAATTACTTTTTAATTTTTTCTCTCTCCTCCCCCATTCCATATAATAAAGGTGCAGCATGCAAATTGTCCCCTCGACTGAGAGTTTGTCTGGGAGTTCCACCAGGGGGCAAGGCTGGGTGGGGGAAGGGAGGGAAGCACCAGCTGGCAGTGGCAGCAGGCGACCGGGTGAAGGAAGGGAGGCACTGGCTGGCAGTTGGCAGCCGCTAGGGACCCTACCAGTACACGAATTTCGTGCACTGGGCCTCTAGTCTATCTATATAAAACCCTAATGCAAATCGACCAAACGGTGGAATGACCGGTGGCTATGATGCACACTGACCACCAGGGGGCATACGCTCAATGCAGGAGCTGCTCCCAGCCTGCAGGCCCTGACCAGTAGTGGTGGCAGGGGGCGGGGCCGGCAAGCATGTGGCGCCAGGCCAGCCAAGGTGGGTGCGAGTGGGGTCCCCCAATCGCCCCACAGGTGGCCCTGCAGATCGGCCCTGATCACCAGCCAGGCCTAGGGACCCTACCTGTGCATGAATTTCATGCACCGGGCCTCTAGTACAATATAATTTACTCAAAAGTCAACAAATACTGTTAACCTTCTGGTATATTTTTCCTTCCAACTTTTTTTCTGTGCATTTTGAAACATAACTCAGTTGTCATGAACTTTGTTTCCTAAGTTTCTGAAAACTTTTGTAAGCTTCATTCTCATTGGCTATACACTATTTTAAACCAGGGTTGGGGAGAACCATTTTTTTGCCAAGGGCCATTTAGATATTTATAACATCCTTCTCGGGCCATACAAAATTATCAACTTAAAAATTAGCCTGCTATATTTGGTCAAACATTTAATTATCTCACCCCTAATGCCTTGGCAGGGCTAGACCAAATGGTTTTGCGGGCCTTATGGCCCCGCGAGCCAATGTTCCCCGCCCCTGTTAAACAGTGGATGCAACACACAGTTTATTTAACCATTCTGATATCAGCCATTTAGATGTCCAGCATTTTAGAATACTTCTTTGAGATAAAATCTGAAAAGCAGAATGAATCAAAAACTGTGAGCTTTTCAAAGCTCTTGATACAGACTGTCAAACTGTCCACAAAAAAACAATGAGCCAATTTACTTATCCAACATCAGTGCTTGAAAATACCCCATTCATAAAAATTTTAAAAGCAATGTTTTAAGTATTCAATAGGTTGATAATTGATTTTAGCTATGTTTAATGCTTATTAAAAAAAATTGGCTATCCTGTGAACAATTCTTTTGCAAACAGTTGTTTTACATAGGTTCACTTCATTTCTAAGTTTTAATTATATAATTCCATTAACACAGATTATTAAAAATCTTTTACAAACATCTCAAAATTTTTTAAATCATTAAAAAAACCCCTAAAGCATATTAGGTTGAAATGTTTATAATTATGCCACTTAAACAGTAAATGTTTGAGAACTAGACTGAAATAAAAGTGCAGAAGACACACAGTGGAACAGAAAGAAACAAAGACTGAAGGAGAAAAAAAAAACACCTATATAACAAAGATTCCTTTCATATGTGTTTATAAACTACTAGAGGTCCGGTGCATGAAATTTGTGTGGAGGGTGGGGAGGGTCCCTCAGCCCGGCCTGCACACTCTCGCAATCCGGGACCCCTTGGGGGATGTCCAACTGCCAGTTTAGGCCCAATCCATCGGGCCTAAACTGGCAGTTGGACATCCCTCTTGCAATCTGGGACTGCTGGCTCCTAGCCACTTGCCTGCCTGCCTGCCTGATCGCCCCTAACCACTCTACATCCCTGCCTGATCACTCCTAGCCGCTCTGCCTGCCTGCCTGATCGCTCCTAGTCGCTCTGCCTGCCTGATCACCCCTAACAGCTCTGTCTGCCTGCCTGATCACCCCAACCTCTCTGCCTGCCTGCCTGATCGCCCTTAACCACTCGCCTGCCTGCCAGCTCAGTGCGCATCATAGCAACCCGTCGTTCCACCGTTCGGTCGATTTGCATATTATCCTTTTATTATATAGGATAATTTTTCAGTTTAATCCTTTGTAATTTCATAAAACCTTTTCACTCAAATAGCTACTCTTTTCAATAATTCACCAATTTTAATGAGTTTGAGTAGCCAAAAAAGTGTTTTATTTCCAAGGTCAAGAAGGATTTAACTTTGGGTGGTGGGCCCATGATGCAATGTATAGATAGATCATATATCACAGAGATACACACTTGAAGCCTATATAATCCTATCAACCAATGTCATCCCAATAAATTTAATTTAAAAATTAAAAAATATAAATGGCTACACAGTAAAAAAATAATAAAATAAAAACTAATTAAAATTTTTTAAAAAATCGTTATATTCTATTTATTTCCCATGCATACATTAATATGCTGAATTGGTAATTCATTAAATTTAAATAATCTATTTTACACTTTTTATTTTTACCAAAGCCAGTGTAGGTCACTGAATATCATTCTAAGGTTGAAAATTAGAACAATCATGTGAAATTAAAGCATAATATACCATATAGAACAAAATGTTCCTTCATTAAAATATACGCATTGCTAGATTTCACAGAGCAGTAGAATTACATAACGGTTTTCTTCTCAAATCCTTAGAACCTAGAAATATGTAAGGACGCTAAAAATTTAAGTAAAGCAAATATAGATCATGTATACACAGTATAACACTATAATCCTGGACATTCAGGGCCTGAAACTAAAAGTTTATGCTTTCAGTTATAGACTTTTGCTAAGTGTCTCCGATCTGATTTTCCAAGTATGCCCTCAACCCCACAACTATGAGCTCAAAGAATCTGTCTGATCAGGAACAGAGAGCAAAATCTAAGAGCTCCCAAAGAGGCAAATCTTATGTGGAAAATGCTGTATGGATGCATTTAATGATATGAATCACTAAAAAAAGTTTAGCACCACACTGAGAGATAAGAATAGGAAAGTACCTTAAGTGAATAATGAAAAACAATTAGAACACAGGCTCTTCCATACTACTTGATCACTTTTCCAGTTTTATTAAAACTGTCTTTTGAGGCAGACTGATATGATTCTATAAAACATAGACAAAGTTTACTAAAGACTTTTTCATCTAACTCTAAATAGACTCTACTTCACTATCTGGTATATAAACAACCTCACTTAACAAAAAATAGTATTGAAGTAGAGATTAAATTACCAGGATAGGAACATAAGTAAAACACTAGTGCAATTGAGTAAACAACCAAGAATTCCTGACTTCTAAACCAAAATCAAGAGTAAGTGAATGCATTAACTTTTTAAATTCACAAATTAAAAGCTTATCTGGTCAATAGCAAGTTGATTTTACTACTAGTAACTATTTGTTATTTTAGAATTCCAGAACTCTCAAAAGTTAAGAACAATGACTATCGACATTTAATTAGTACGAGAATTTGATCTTTTGCTAATCTCCCTTTAGTTATCCTCCATTATGTTCCTCCTCCTTCAATCAAAAGGATTGAGACTAAAATCATTCTGACTGTAACAATAAGTACAGCACCAAAAATTTGCTGATATGGTTATAGAAACCCCCATTTTTCATAATACTCTGAAGTGACGGAGAAAAGAAAAAAATAGTCTGACCTTTAGTGTGACATCACAGAGTTCTCCATTTTCATAAAACCGAAGAAGAGATCCATGAAAATCTTTCCAAGCTTCCTGTGCTTCAAATATAAAGGAGTCGTCGCCATCGCCATCACTGATGGAAGACCTAGTCTTTGTTTGCTGGTGCTGCTGCCTTTTCCCCTTAGTGAAGTGATTCCTAGGGTATTTTGTATTCATAGAATCTGAAGCCATTTGCAACACTCTTCTTTTAATAGAGCTGTCTTCTCAAACATCCCATTTATTCTTTTGTAAATGGTAGGGCAAAAGCGGAAGGTAGATGCGGCCCACTAAACTTCAGACATTTTCAAAACCCACTCAACTGCCATTGTCCAATTTGCTGACCCTGAAAAATAAACAAAACACACGTAGAAATAAACCAAAAGAAAAAAATCAATAATAATTCTAGTTTACCAATATTATATATGTAAAAAGACTATATAAATAAAAAAAGAACAAGTAACTTCGGAGCTCTTACGCTAAATGTCACATAAATTACCTCAGAAAATATAGGTGACCCTTGAACAATGCAGAGGGTAGATTCAAATCCACCCTCATAAAAAATCCACACATCAAAAGTATTTTCGACTCACAGTTGGAAATGCACGGTTAGGAATCTGTGGTTGAGAATGAGAAAATACTGGGGTTTTGTTGTTGTTGTTTTTGATATATTTTTATTGACTTCAGAGAGGAAGGGAGAGGGAGTGAGAGATAGAAACATCAAAGATGAGAGAGAATTATTGATTGGCTGTCTCCTGCATGCCCTCCACTGGGGATCGAGTCCGCAACCCAGGCATGTGCCCTGACCAAGAATCGAACCGTGACCCTCCTCGTTCATAGGTTGACACTCAACCACTGAGCCACGCCGGTTAGGTGAGAAAATACTGTTTTTGACCCATGATTGATTGAATCCACAGATATTAAACCCACAGACACAAAAGACTGACTATAAAAATCTGTATATAAATGGACCAACATATATCAAAACCATGTTTTGAAGTATCAACTGTATTTTATATCAGTGAAAAAACTCCTTTAAAATCTAATTTGAGCCCTACCTGGTTTGGCTCAGTGGATAGAGCATCAGCCTGTGGACTAAAAGGTCCCGGGTTCGATTCCAGTCAAGGGCACAAGCCTGGATTGCGGGCTTAATCCCCAGTAGGGGGTGTGCAGGAAGCAGCCGATCAATGATTCTCTCTCATCATTGATGTTTCTCTCTCTCCCTTCCTCTCTCTGAAGTCAATAAAAAATATATATATATATATATATATATTTAATCTAATTTGAAAATTCTAGGAAGAAGGTGAAATAGAAAGCATCAGGAATTTGTCTTCCCACCTAGACAACAATTGCAGTGGCAGAATCTGTCTGGTGTAACTTTTAGAACTCAAGTGTTGAAGGCTTACAACTTCCCGGAGAAGACTTGGATGGTAAATCACGGTTAATTTTGGTCAATTTCAGCTCTTAGTACAGTAGCAGCTTTCCATCCACACCCTCCGTCACATGCAGGCAGCTGTGCATGTGTTCCAGGAGCAGCAGCTTGCACACAATTTGCAGGAGCTGTGGTGGGCAAAAAGGACCCTGTCCTCCAAGCATCAGGAGTCTCTGCTCTGATTGCTGAGTGCTGTTTCTGCTCACAGAGATGCAGACAAAGACTGGGCAGACATTTTTGCTGCAACTCCTTCTACTATTGCAAGCCTTTCTCTCTCAGCTGGAGTAACTTCCAGTGGATTTGAAAGGCTGGTGTTCTTTTCCCCCCTATATTTTATACTTTTTCTCCTTTAGGGAGCAAGACATGAAAGACTAAGACGTTAAAAAACAACTGCATATACAAGGAATATTAGACACACCCCAGGAAAGGCTCAAAAAGACCTGAGAGCACCTGAAGGTTACAGCTCAGGGTGATCTCCAGCATAGATAACATATAAGAGAGAGAGAGAGAGAGAGAGAGAGAGAGAGAGAGAGAGAGAGAGAGAACACAATGACAAAAACTGGCAAACCTTTAAAAAAAAAGGAAGAATCTGATTTTCAGACTTATTTTATTAGATTTAAATGTTCAGTATTCAACAACAACAACAAAAACAAGGCATACACAGAAACAGATATGTATGGCCCATTTAAGGGGGAAAAATAAATCAAAAGAAACTGTCTCTGAAAAAGAACTAATGACATTTATTCTAGACAAATAATTTAAGACACTATCTTACTGATATTTGAAGAACCAAAGGAAGATGTGGTGAAAGTCATTTGTAAGAACAAAACAGAACTATCAATTAAAACGGAGGGGGGGGGGGGGGACACACACCATAAAACCTAAAAAGGAACAAAAAACGAATCCTGGAACTGAAAAGTACAATAACTGAAATGAAACATTCACTAGAGGGATTCAAAGGCAGATTTGAGGAGGCAGAAAAAAGAATTGGCAAACTTGAAGATAAAATAATGATAACTATCAAGTGAGAAACAGAAAGAAAAGGTGGAAGAAACATGAACAGAGCCTAAAGGATCTGTGGGACACCATCAAACACACCAATGTACATATCATTGGGGTCCTAGAAGAATAAGAGAGAGAGAAGGGGAAGAGAGAATATTTAAAGAAATAATGGCTGAAAACTTCTTAAATTTGATGAAAGACATGAATTTAAACATCCAAGAAGCTTCAAGAAAGATAAACTCAAAGAGACCCAAAACCTAGATACATTATAATCAATCTTTCAAAAGCCAATAATAAAGAAAGAATCTTGAAATCAATAAAAGTGAATCATCTCCTGGTTGGTGGCTCAGGGGTTGAGCATCAGTCCATGAACCAAGAGGTCACTGGTTCGATTCCCGGTCAGGGCACATGCCTGGGTTTTGGTTTCGATCACCAGTAGGAGGCATGCAGGAGGCAGCCAATCAATGTTTCTCTCTCATCAATGTTTCTGTCTATCCTTGTCCCTTCCTCTCCCTCTAAAAATTTAATAAAAATATATATTTTTTAAAAAATAAAAGTGAGTCATCACACAAGCGATCCTCAATAAGATGATCAGATTAGAAACTTTGGAGGCCAGAAGACAGTGGGCAAGCATGTTTAAAGTATTAAAAGACAAAATCTGTCAACCAAGAATCCTATATCCAGCAAAACTGTTCTTCAAAAGTGAGGAAGAAATTAAGAAATCCCAAATAAACAAAAGCTGAAGGAGTTCATGACCACTAGATCTGGCCTGCAAGAAACACTCACGGGGTCCTTCAAGGTGAAATGAAAGAACACTAGACAGTAACTCAAAGCCATATGGAGAAATAAATATCTCAATAAAAGTAAATACATAAGTCACAAAAATTAGTATTGTAACAACACTTTGCAACTGCATTTTTTTCTTCTACATGATTAAAGAAAAAATTAATTTAAGCATAACTGGATTGGCAAAATGAATAAAAACACATGATTCAAGTATATGCTATCTATAAGAGATTCACTCGAGATCCAGACACAAACAGGTTGAAATGCAAAGGATGAGAAAAATATTTCATGCAAATAGTAACCAAAAGAGAGCAGAAATGGCTATACCACAATCAGACAAAATAAGACTTTAAATTTTAAAATGTCATAAGAGACAGAGGATATTATACATTAATAAAAGATTCAATACAGCAAAAAGATATAACAATAAATATTTACACATATAATGAAGATCATGAAAAGAATTGAAGAGAGAAAGGAACAGTTCTACAATAACAGATGGAGATTTCAATCCCCCAGTCACAATAATGGATAGAACAACAAATAGAAGGTAAGTATGGAAACAGAGGACTTAACACAATAAACCAACTACTCTAACAGACATGCCCAGAACACTCTATCTGAAAACAAAATACATATTCTTCTCAAGTGTACACAGACATTTTCCAGTATAGACAATATGTTAGACCACAAATTTAAGTCAAAATAGACTTAAAAAGATAACAGACCAAGTATCTTCTACCAATTTGACATGCAGTTATTTACCAATAATAACAACAACAAAAAATGGAAAATTCACAAAACTGTGGAAATTAACACAATTTTAAACAATGGATCAAAGAAGAAATGAAAAGAAAAATTAGAAAAGACTTAGAGATGCATTAAAACTAAAATAAAACATACCAAAACTTATGGGGCTCAATGAAAGCAGTGGTAAGGAGGAAATTTATAGCTACAAACACATTTTTTAAAAATTTCAAATCAATAACCAAACTTTACAACTTAAGGAACTAGAAAAAGAACAAACTAAACCCAAAGCAGAAGGGAGGAAATAATAGAGATTAGAACAGAGGTAAACATAAAATGTACCATATTAACTATTTTTAAGTGCACAGTTCAGTGATATTAAATACAATCACACTGTTGTGCAGCCATCACCACCATCCATCCCTGTAACTCTTCATCTTGTAAAACTGAAACTCTATTCCCATTAAAGAAATCCCCATTCTCTCCTCCTCCCCAGCCCTTAGCAACCATTATTATACTTGGTCTTTATGATTTTGACTACTCATACCTCATATAAGTTGAATCATACAGTACTTATCTTTTTGTGACTGGCTTATTTCACTTAGCATAATGTCCTCAAGGTTCATCCATGTTGTAGCATATTGCAGAATTTCTTTCCTTTTTAAGGCTGAATATTATCCCACTGTGGGATACAGCTAAAGCAGTGTTTTGGGGAAAATTTTAGAGCATTAAATGCTTATGTTAAAAAAGAAAAAAAGGTCTTAAATCAATAATTAAGCTTTCACCTTAAGAGACTAGGAAAAAAGGAGCAAAATGTACTCAACGCAAGCATACGGAAATAATAAAGAGTACAAACCAATAATATCAAAAACAGAAATTAAATCAAAACCAAAAGTTTTTTTTAAAAGATCAACAGAATTGATAAACATCTAGCAAGACTGACAAAAAAAAAAAAAAAAAAAGAGGGAGAAGACTCATGCCCTAATATCTGGAATATTAGGGATTATCACAATGAATCCACAGGCAATGAAAAGTTAATAAGGTAACTACTATGGAAAACTCTACATATGTAAATGTGACAATTTAATAAGTGTTAGTTCTCTCCAGTTCAATATGGCATAAAAATAAATAAATAAAAGGCACAGAGATTGGAAAGAAATAAGTCTGTCCCTATTAGCAGACATGATTGTCTATGTAAAATATTCCCAAGAAACACCTAGAACTAATAAGTTTAACAAGGTCACAAAATATAAGGTGAACACACAAAAATCAATCATATTTCTACATATTAGATATGCATAATTGAAAACTGAAATTTTTAAAAGCAACAGTACTAAGAATGGCTCAAGAGACATTTATTCTAAAATCAAAAGCTTATTTACAAAATGACAATGTGATCATGATAAATGGACAGTCCAGCAATTTTCAAACTTTTTCATCCCATGGCACACATAAACTAATTACTAAAATTCTGCAGCACACCAAAATATATACATCTTGCTGACCTGACAAACAAAAGGGGTAATTTTGATTCATTCACACGCGACAGCTATAGTTGTGTTGGCTGTTGTCATTTTTTTATTTGACAGGCTAAGACAGTGGTCGGCAAACTGCGGCTTGCGAGCCACATGCGGCTCTTTGGCCCCTCGAGTGTGGCCATGAAGTTTCAATCGCACTGTACGTGCGCGCCTGCACATGGTATTTTGTGGAAGAGTCACACTCAAGGTGCCGCAGTTTGCTGACCACTGGCCTAAGAGAAAAGAGTCAGGTATTATACATTTTAAAAATTATTGTGGCACACCAGTGAAAACTGTGGGGACAGACACATATAGCAATAGAACAGAATAGTCAGTTCAAAAATAGACCCACACAAATATCTCCAATTGGTTTTTGACAAGGCACAAAAGCAATTCAATGGAGAAATGACAGTCTTTTAACAAATGATATTGAAACAACTGAACATATACATACGAAATATGGCAGCCAATCAATGATTCTCTCTCATCATTGATGTTTCTCTCTCCCTCTCCCTTCCTCTCTGAAATCAATAAAAATATTAAAAAATAAAATAACTAAAAATGCAATATACTCACTATCTTTCATATATAAAATACTATGCAAATGCTGACATTCATCTCTAATTAACTTTTAAGATATATAGACCTCTCAGACTTTTTTGTTGTTGTTAATCCTCACCTAAGGATATTTTTCCATTGATTTTTAGGGAGAGTGGAAGAGAGAAGGAAAGACAGAAACATTGATATGAGAGAAATACATTGATTGGTTGCCTCCTACATGAGCCCTGACCAGGGCCTGGGCCGTGGAAGAGCCTGCAACCGAGGTATGTGCCTTTGACCAAACTGAACCCAGGACCCTTTGGTCCTCAGACCGACACTCTATCCACTGAGGCAAACTGGCTGGGGCTTCAGATTATTTTTATAGAGAACAAATCTACTGAGATAAAAATAGTTCTGTTTGCCGAAACCGGTTTGGCTCAGTGGATGGAGTGTCAGCCTGCGGACTGAAGGGTCCCGGGTTCGATTCCGGTCGGGAGTGTGTACCTTGGTTGCAGACACATCCCCAGTGGGAGATGTGCAGGAGGCAGCTGATCGATGTTTCTCTCTCATCGATGTTTCTAGCTCTCTATCTCTCTCCCTTCCTCTCTGTGAAAAATCAATAAAATATATTAAAAAAAATAGTTCTGTTACTTTATCTTATAAATCCCAAGTATTGATTTAGAACCT